TGTACTCAAATAGGAAACTCTGCTTATTAATATCAACAATATAATTTACAGTTTCACAAGTCATTGTTTAAATTTAAATAATAAATATAACAATGATGAATAACGATATTGCAATAATTTTAAGAGTTGCCTTCGGAAATAAATATATATATATATATACCTAGTGCAATAATTGCATTTGGCTTTTCCATCCACAACTGTGGAATGGTTCCACACTTCACTTCTTGTTCTTCTTTGAACACATTGCGTCGTGTCTGTTGAAGAAGTAATTTAAGGGACGTCATTTTCAACAATGCAGAATTCAAAATTATTTCATATGGAATATATTTGGATTAGATCATTTATTATTATAGGTTCAAATCGGTCGAATCAAAACATGGTCGAATGAAATAAATCAAAAACTAGGTGACTAAATCTGATTAGATTTGGTTTAAATTTCATTGAGTCTTGAGCCTTGATCATTAGCTCGCAAAATTTCTTCCCTAAAATCATACGATATTTTATTACTGTTCACAAAAGGATCGTCAATTAATAATTTTATTTGTCTGTTTTAGGTTTATTGTCCTTTTTAATGTCCAATGTCCATTCTTTGTAATGTTTCTATCGGCAAGCATTTATTATTAGTTTTTTTTGTACCAGATATAATTAATTGCGGCTATTTTTATTTTTGGATTAATTTAATTTTACTATTTTGAGTAAGGCTTCTGTAAGTTGTTCCATCTACTTTATCATAGCAGAATATTTCTCTTTTTGTGCTTAGCCTTCTCATAATCATGTATTTTTCCGCAAAAATATCCGCATTCGCCAAATCAATTTCTAAATAAGGATAACACGCACCCAACCCACCAATAAAATTGGATATTTTCACGATGCTGCGCAAATTTGCGGATATTTTTGCGGAAAAATACATGATTTTAGCCTTCTCTCCATTGCTTCACTTCTATTGTAAAATATAAAGTCATTCAATAAGCTTGTAATTATCATTTTATGGGGTCCGTTCTATTTGAGAATCATGTAAATTTTTAGTAGTCATTAATCTTCTAGATGTTTTCCCATTTCTCCATGTATATTGTGGTTTGTCATAGAATAGGGAGAAATTGTTATCTTCTAGATTGTGGATTTTTAGGTCCTTAATTAGGTCGTTTTCTATTATTGATAATATTTTGTTCTAGGATGTCAACGTCAGAGTTAAAGCCTCTCATCATCATCATTTTCCCCTATGTTTGTGATTATACTTGTACCCATGTGGTGCGTATCATGTGAATTCTTGTAACGTGTATCTGTTGCCAAAATTACCTGCAGGCTTTTGCAGTCAAATTTTCAACTAAGAAATTAATTTGGTTTGATTTGGTTCCCAAAATTTATGTCATGTCAAAAAGTCACCCAATTGTGAATTCTTGTAACGTGTATCTGTTGCCAAAATTACCTGCAGGCTTTTGCAGTCAAATTTTCAACTAAGAAATTAATTTGGTTTGATTTGGTTCCCAAAATTTATGTCATGTCAAAAAGTCACCCAATTGAATTGATCACATACCAACACCAATTAAATTTATCTGAGGTAATTCTTTTGTTATAAACATTTTTTTTATATTACTTAATCAATTATCAGAAGAAAATGATACTGAAAGGAGATTAATTTATTTTAAAAATAATACTTTGGTCTCTTCAATAAAATAACTTTTATCTGGAGGATATTCTTTTTTATTCCAACAAGCTGGGTTATAGCCACCAATTAATTCACCAGTTTCTTTGGTCTTCATAACAGTTTGTTTTATATTATAACATTTATTCTCCAAAATTGACCTAGAAAATACATCACAAGATCACAAAGAATTAATTTTAATCTGTAAGGGACATCATCTTTATTATGAGACAATTTTCCAATCATCCCATTTAGATTAGAAATTAAACATTTCATTTCTAAATTTAACATTTTTCCAGATTCCGATCTTGAACCTTCATGATGTGTTAATCTTGGTTGATGGTTATTAGTAATATGGTATTGAAAAAGTTCTTCATATATTTCTTTAATAAAGACTTCTTTATAAGGTTTAATTTTTTTATAAAAATCAGTTGATGAAATTTCCTTAATCTTATCAATGGAATAATATCTTCCAATGTATTTTTCAACATGATAAAATCTTTCTTCTTCCACTTAAAATGTCTTTTTCCAATTCTTCATCTTGGCTTATTCCCCATTGGACAACAATATCCCAAATTTCAATTTCTTTTAATTGCCAAATCATCTCTTTCTATCATAGACACAAAAATAGGTTTTTTGATATTTTTAAAACCTATAAATTTTAAAAACAAACCTAGATTATATGACATTAACTTATCAAAATAATAATTAAGTAAATTGAATGTTTGGTGATTTGATGAAATATGATAAATGTAAATTAAATTCCTTTGTAACTGTATGTGAAATTGAAATTATGTGAAATTGAAATATTGTGGAGTGGGGTGAAATTCTGATCGGCTAGTTTGTTTCACACATGTAAATTTGAATTTCACATATGTGAATTGCGAATTCACATAATTTCATTTTCATGTACAACATAACCATTTATTTTCTTTAATAATTAAATGATTTTCCAAATCCTCAATTAATTCATCATATGCTTTAAGAAGTTCAATGATTTCATCTGGATTGAAATTATTTGGATTGGCAATTCCATTATAAATATATCTTTTAAAAATAAAAATAAAAAATAAATAAATATTAAATACTAAGTCAAATCAAATCAAATTTATATTTATATTAGATTAAATAATTCTTACTTTAAAATAACTTCAAATGTTTTTGGTAAAAATTTTTTTTCAAATAAAAGCATGCCATTTTCGTCCAATTACTAGATAAAGCAGCTTTAAAATATGGTGATCTTGCTTTTAAAACTATAGTATGAACTTTAAAAGTTTTGACATCCTCTTCTTCGCCTACTCGAATTTCTAGATCATACAAGTTGGACTCATTCAATAATTTCGACAATGTAAGTCATCACATAATTAAAATTAACCAGAGTGATGACAAGTGGCGATAACCACCACCATTCTTTTGATAAACACTTACCTGCCAGTTTCTTCTTTTTAGTTATTTAGTTTTGTTTAAACATTTTTCAGAGAGATAAAAAAAATTGACAAATGTTACACATTAATTATTTATGTATGGAAACCCTCAGCATAGTTAAAAATCCTCTCATTGGTCGATTAAACCTGTATGCAGATCATGCGATTAACCAATCAAATTAATTAAAAAATTCGAAACCAAAAGTTTATTGATATACAGTCAGACCTCCATAAATGCACCCCCTTGGGACCAAGAGACAGCGTGCATTTATGGAGGGTGTGCATTTATGGAGAGAAGCAATTTCATTGGTCACAAATGATACACAATATTTTAAATCAGGGTTGGTGAATGTGTGGTCCATTGGTGGTCCATTGATGGTCCATTGATGGTCCATTGGGTCCATTAGTGTAACATTTTAACTATATTTAGTATTTTATTAATGGCAATAGACCAGCTCAAAGTCCATCAGTTCTCAATGGACCAGTCAATTTGCCAACACTGTTTTAAATACAGTAATGCTAAAATAAACTATCCATTGTAGTTCGTTTTGATGAATTTACTTTTTTTATATTGATATATCTTTCAATTTTATTAACCAATTTTATTTGTTTGTAGTTTTATTTTTCTTGCTGTATGTGATTGCGAGAGCAATTCAAATATAAATAATATTGCTGATCTTTTTTTTTTTTTTGAATATTGTCAATCCAATATCCACGCTTCATTCAAAATTTTCCTCTTTTTTCTGCATCCGAATAAAAGTTCCCGATATTCCTTATTCGAATATTGTTCATTTGTTTCTAACCAAAATTCTCCTTTTTTCTACGCCCAAATAAACCCACCGAGTTCTCGACATTCCTTATTCGGTTATGATATAACATTTTCATTGCTATCAATAGCATGCATACAGATTATTTCTTCAAAGACCCAAGCTCAATACCGGGCGTTTCATTTTCGCAACTCTTCCAAAAGTTGTATCAACAGCCGTCTTGTATAACATTTAATTAAATATACAATGCGGTTTAATAAATCTCTGAAAATTGAATGTTTCATTCCATCATCAACCTTTATTATCTTGACTTGTTTACTGGTGGAATAATCTAAAGCTGATAGTGCACCTGCAAGATAAGTAGTACATAGTAAAGATACATTGTCGCCTGCAATTTTTAATTCTGGAGTCAAGTTGTATAAATGAAAAAATAAATATGCTATTCCTGCATAGCCTATAGGATGAAGGAAGAGGCAATGGGTGAATGAAGGTGAATCGAAAGAGATTCTTCCGAATTGGTTAATGAGAATAATAACAATTGATTGAGTGGTTAATTACCGACATAAACACCATAATCACTTGAACGAAAAGATGCAGAATAATTATATAAAATTTTTTCACAATTATATTTAATCAAATGGTCTAAACTTTTTGTATCGAAATCTTTAATATTTGGTAAAGTTAAATGGTTATTTATATAACGATCTGGCATTTTATAAATTTTTTTATTGAAAAAAGAAAATTAATCAAGACATTATTTACAAAAAGGGGGTGTTCGATTTCAACATTTCACGGTAATATATTTTGATGCTTAAAAATATATATACATCATCATCAATTTATTTAATTTTTTCTAAAAGGCATAATTGAACGACCTGCATTTTTTACAAAATTAACAAATCCATGGTTTTTCTTCTCTTCCATATTTCTCTTCTCCAATTAATAATCCAGATAAAAAGAAAGAACAACCAACTACAACTACCCAGTCTCAAGATCAACCAACTGAAACTAGTCAAAGTCCAGATCCCAACCAGTCGGCTCCAACTAACACAGTTCCCAACCAACTAGCTCCAACTAACGATCCCAACCAACAAGCTCCAACTAACCCAGCTCCAGCCGACACAGCTCCAACTGACGCAGCTCCAATTAACGATCCAAATGCAACTAACAGTCCAGATCCAACTCCAGCTAACCAAAATTCAAACCAGCAAGATGCTAATAGCTCAAGTGCAAGTCAGACCGCGCAAGTTGCAAATGCAGATTCTACTGCTGCTGCTGCTAATGATAGTGTGCCAGGATCGTCAATAAGCACCCCACCAATAGGTCTTATAGTATTTGCTGTTGTGGTAGCCGTTGGAGCAGCATTTGTCGGCTACACTACTTATGAACGACGTAGATACAGAAATCAATTTAATCGTAGACAAAACATGCAACAACAAAATCCTTCTTTAGCTGCTGTTCCTGATTTTGGCAGAGCCGTTTAAAAAAAAAACCAAATAAATATAAATTTAGAATAATAATTTAAAGCAAAAAAAAAACAATTTGTAAAG